GTTGTAAAGTATTTGCAGATTAGTTGTAAAGTATTTGCAGATTAGTTGTAAAGTATTTGCAGATTAGTTGTAAAGTATTTGCAGATTAGTTGTAAAGTATTTGCAGATTTGCAATGACCCCATTTTGTACAGTTTGTTTACTTTCTGATTCAGCTGCTTGTGGTTTGAACTGTGTTTGGTGAATATAAAAATAGTTTCTGTGAGCTTTTAGTCAAGATTCTTAGGTTTTTATTGACACCAAACATGTCCAGGATCAACTGACAGATCTTAGGTTAACAGAAGTTAAAATAAATAAAAAAGGTAAATGCAGTTTTGTCTGTGGTACCAGACCGTGGGGCTCAAAGGTTGAGATGTTCAGTCTGAGCTGAGGAGGGAAAACATCATCAGACTGATGGAGAAATGAAATTAGTTTGTTTGTTGTTAAACTGTAAACAAACCCGTTAACTGAGAGGATCTACTTCCTGTGTGTCTGCAGCGGCGGCGTCCTCCTCCTAAGGTGGAGATGGGAACATCGAGCCACAACGACGTGGACATGAGCTGGATCCCTCAGGAGACGCTGAACCAGATCAGTACGTGCTGTCTTCTGTCCTCAGAACACACGGATCAGAACCTGTCAGCTGTTCCTCTCTCCTCCTGCTCACCTGAGGCACACTGACCTTTGACCTTTGCTGACTCACCTTGTTTCTGCTTTTTTTCCTCGCTCTCATGTTTTCCTGCGTCTTCAGTGCAGAGTCGCAGAGGTGAGGTCTGCTTCTTGTCCTCCTGTGTCTCATTAACCAGCTGCAGGTCCAGATGTTCTGACCTCTTCAGACTGAAGATACTTTTYTATTTTCACATAATCTGGGTTTAACTCACATCATCTGGACTTCAGGTGATCTGGTCTTTCAGGACAGGGCTATTGACTCAGGTGGGACTTGTTGGRGGGCTYGATCCGGCCCGCGGGCCACCAGTTGAATAGCCCCYTTTTAGGATGTTCTTWGTGTCCAACGAAATGTGGACGTTTGTGGACCTCTCAGGTCCCGCTTCWGACTCGGAGAGTTCTGGACTCTCAGGTGTCCTAACGGGACTGGATCGGTCCAAACAGAAACCTTTGATTGGTTGATCTGAACCGTGGTCCAGCTCCTGCAGAGAGTCCTTCAGGATCCCCGTAGACCGTCAGCTGAGGTCCCTCTGACCTGTCCACAGTGGGACTAAAGGGGTCTTCAGTCCAGCTCTCTGAGACCTGCAGGGACTGTTGGTCTCTGGATCTGGTCTGTAGAACCTTCATGTTTGGTTCTGATCGTCCATCAGGACCGGTTTAACCAGGACAGGTCAGTTTACTGGACTAGAACTGGTTCTGGACCATGATCCAGAAGTTTGTTCAACCAGGAAACATTTCTGTGTGGACCAATCAGATCGTCTGACCTCACCTGACATCACCTGACACTTCCTGTCCAGGTGAGAGTCTGAAGCTCTGAACCACCTGAAGCTCATCTTCAAAACAACAAAAACACTCAGAACCAGAATCAGTTAAAATAAATAAACCAGTTTAAACTGGTTTACTCTGGTTTAACTTGGTTTAAACTGGTTTTTTTGAAACTGGTTTAACTTTATTTAAACTGGTTTACTCTGGTTGAACTTGGTTTAAACTGGTTTTAAACTTGTTTAAATTTAAACTGGTTTTAAACTGTTTTAACTTGGTTTACTCTGGTGTAATCTGGTTTAACGGTTTAAACTGGTTTTAAACTTTGTTTAACTTGATTTAAACTTGGTTTGACTTGATTTAAACTGGTTTAACTTGGTTTGACTTGATTTAAACTGGTTTAACTTGGTTTAAACTGGTTTTAAACTGGTTTAACTTGGTTTACTCTGGTGTAATTTGGTTTAACTTGGTTTAAACTGGTTCAATCCGGTTTAAACCAGTTTAACTTGTTTTAAACCAGTTTAACTTGGTTTAAACCAGTTTAAAAAAAAACTTGGTTTAAACCAGTTTAATCTGGTTTAAACCAAGTTTATAACCAGTTTAAACTGGTTTAAACTGGATTGAACCAGTTTAAACCAAGTTAAACCAGTTTCAAACCAGTTTAAAGTTAAACAAGTTTAAAACCAGTTCAAATCAAGTCAAACCAAGTTTAAATCAAGTTAAACCAAGTTTAAAACCAGTTTAAACCGTTAAACCAGATTACACCAGAGTAAACCAAGTTTAAACCAGTTTAATTTTTTAAACCAGTTTAAACTGGTTTTAAACTTGGTTTAAACCATTTTAAACTTGGTTTAAACCAGTTTAATCTGGTTTAAACTGGTTTTAAACTTGGTTTAAACCAGTTTAAACCAGTTTAAACTGCTTCTCTTCAGATGGTCACCTCRTCTCCTCTCCTCTTCAGACAAAGCGTCTCCCAGAAGATCTCCTCGCAAGCGGAACCAGAAACGTTCGGCCGGCTCCGACGAGTGACAGACGAGCCGCCGCGGCGGCGCCGACCCGCCTGCCGACCCGAGGAGGCGCTCCGGACCGGGTGCGCTCCGTCTGCTGAAGAACTTTGACCGGTGCCGAGCGCAGACGGCTGGTTCTGCCTGAAACTTTGAACTTTGAATCTGTTCTGAAACTCGTTGGTTTTCTTTAGATAACTTTTTTTTTAAGACTTCGTGAGATAAAAACCRGCTGATCTTTGTGAGACGGTTCTGATTGTGGTTCTGGTGTCGGGCTGCAACACTTGAAATGTTCTGGTTTTACTTTGAAGGGGGGATGTTTGATCAGTTTGTGACAGGAAGCTTTTTTTTACTTCTAATTGTTCTGGTTCTGGTTCCGTCCAGCCCTTAAACTCTGCAGTTTGTGCATTAAACAGAAACAAAAAGCTAAAAGTTTACAGGAAATAATAAAATCATAAGAATTTTCTTTTGCTTCTTGAGTTTTGAGATTAAAATTCAGACTTTTATTGTGAAGGGCTGCAGGAAGTTCTGCTGTAGTCCACCCAGAAGAACCAGGACTCTGATTAGAAGCAAATCTGAATTTCATTAAAGCTTTTTAAACTTTTAATCTTGAAACTGAAGAACAAAACAAATCTTGAGTAAAAATGTTTTTTATTTTTGTAAGACGGTTTTGTTTATTCTGCAGTCGGCTGTATTTCCTGTTATTTAACCCTGACATGAATCAGATTAAATTAAATGWAACAAAGTGTCTGCAGCCTGACGGAGAGCCCAGATAAACCTCCAGCTGTGCACATCTGGATCAGCGTGAAGCTGCCGTTTGACTCGGGTTTATTTGAACGGTTCTCTGCATGTTTGCTCGCTGATTTCTTCTTCTTTAGACCTAAAACCGAAGCGTTTGGGTTGTTTTCTTTTTGTACGTTTGTTTACTTCATGCATCCTGTTTAAAATCAGATCTTTTAGTAAAATGTTGAGTTTTTGGTTTGTAAAGATGTGGACCGGCTGAAGCACTGCTGTAAATACTGTGATGAATCCTGCAGCTCATTCAAGCAGCTGATTGGTCGAGAACAAGATTTATCATTTTTGACCACTGGGGGGCGGTGTTTCTGCAGCCTCCTGTTTGTGACTTTACTTCCTGCAGTTTAATAATCTGTTCTGCTGCAAGAGAGATAAGTGTTGACATGACTCCACAGGAAGCTGAGCTGATTAATATTTTTTTTTATCAAACGTCAAAGGCTGTCGTTGAATAATTCAAACCTTTAATTTGCTTTCAAACAGGCAGGAAAATAAACATGAATTTGCTGTAAAACAGTTTTTCTTGCATTTTTGTCTAAAGGTTTTATTATTTAAGTATCCTTTTGAGAAAAACAAGTCCTCTGTAAAGGAAATTATTTGTAACAAAGTGCCAGATGAGGAGCTGCACGTCATTATTGGTGAGTACCTTCACATTTTACTGTTATTAAATTAAATATTACTGTTCTACCAACAAAAAATGTTAGGATTCATATTTAAAGATAAAACTATAAAAACAAGCTTATGTGTTTTGATTTTATACAGGTGCTCTGATGAGACCTGGTCTAACGTCTTCATTTCTGCACCTATTTTAGAGACTTCAGGATTTTGCCTTAAAGTTTAAAATATCTGAGCTGCACTTTGAAGAAACCTCACATTCACTTTAATTTATAAATACAAGTGCTTCAAACGTTTTAAAGTTATCAAAACTAACGAATTGTTAATTCTTTTTTTCAAAGCCATCATTTTAAGTTYAGACCTGATGGAACGTGGACGTCCACAGAGATGAAGGTGAAGAGTTTGTCCCTCTTAATGTCCTTCACTGTGTAGTTCAGAGAGTTGAGCCCATCTCTCTTAAATGTTTTGATAGTTTCATGCAGTTTGTACGGATTGTGTGGGTTAACGTCATTATGGAGGTCTCTGTCATGATGGATCATCTTGTACCGTCCAATCAGGGAGTCTGGTCGGGATATGGACTTGATCCGGATCCTGACCCGGTTGGAGATGTCGTCGTCCTCGCCACCCCAGCCCCAGTAAGTGTTTGAAAAGCCGTTGATTTTCAAGAACTGCTCCTTGGACAGCGCGATGACCCCTCCGAAGATGTTTTTATATGGTAAGGTGAAGTTAAATTTGTCCACGCCCACAGCTAAATGTCTCGGGCTGTCGAAGCACCGGTACAGGTTTCGATCGTCTAAAGGCACCATATCTACATCAGAGAAGACGAAGCAGTCGTAATCATACTCTTTCAGAGCTTCAGCGTATCCTGCGTTCATCAGTTTGGCCTTGTTGAACACTCCGTGACCGTACTGGTTGATAACATAGATGCTGTAGTCCACCTGCTGTCGCATCAAGATGGGATGGAGGTAATAAAGCCAGTGGTTCAGGTGCTCGTCTCGGTATCTGAAGGGGATGATGATCGCCACCTGAAAACAACACATTTGATTTGAAAACCGATTCCTTAAGGAAATTGTGGACATCGTAACAAAATTGCAATGAGCATGGTGTCCCTCTAGGCCGTGTGCTCGGTCCTGAGTTTTTTAGGTTGGAAAAATGGTTGGACAGTGTTTATCTTGGTCTGTGCTTGTTCGTGTAAGCAAAATATTTGTGATGTTCTGTTAAAGAGTACAGAGAATAAGGCAAAAGTCTTCGTCTTGAACAATAGAGTCAGTTTCTTATTGTCAATCAGRAAGTACAGTAAAGTTCAGAGCCCTTTCTCAGGATCCTGAGAATGCAAGTCGGGATCCTGAATATACAAATCCTGGGAAACAAAGTCGGATCCTGAGAAAGTTTCTCGGGATTCTTTTTTTTTTCTCCCCATGTCCTTCAAAGGATCCGTAGTAAGGTGTACAATGAATTCCTTTTGGTTTAAAGATAACAAAATATCTTGATAAACAAAATACATTTGATCACCAGCAGTGTTGATACTTTCACCTTTATTATTGCTGTTGATGAAAGTCTTCAAATTTGTCTTTTTTTTTTTTTCATGTTAACCTAAATCCGTCTTTAATTTCAAAGATTTCCTCAAATTTAGACAACAAAGTTAAGGCATTTTTTTAAATCTTAAATAATTTATTTAAGACTGAAATATTTTAACTGAAATGTTCAAAGTGTGAGTTTCTCCTCCTACCTTCTGCTTGGAGACACAGTTTGGTGGTTTGTACCGGCCTCCCAGCTGCAGTGCAGAACCAACCTGCTCCCTGACTTCGTCCAAAGTCCGGTTGGTTTCAAACTCCACGTGAAGCGGACCCAGCAGGTCTGGAGGGGTGTTAGGACACGGCCCCGACGCTGAAGTCTGGTTGACCTCTGAGGTTCCAGGGTTCTGAAGAGGTTCTGACATGTTTACAGAAAGCTGCCTTTCTTTATCTGTTTGAGAACCCAAAGAAGTTTTTCTGTGGAAGAAAATGAAGACAGCYAAACATGTCAGACTGAGAACAGAATAAAAAGCCAGAAACCTGAAGCTTTTTCTTAGCATTTTTCCAGCCTGCGTGCAGAATATGTCCTCAACTCAAAAGGCCTGAGCTGTTCGTAGCTTTAAACCTGTACTGTAACAGGAAAGACRAAAGCATTTTATTAGCTTTTGAGATTTGACCTTTCATCGTCTCAAACAGAAAAAGCGGAYTAGGAGTGGTCTGACAGGCGCTGATGATTTCACTGGATCTCCTAACCTGGCAAATAGCCAGTTCATAGTAAAACAAACTTACGTTTTTTTAACAAACTGCAGAACATCCACTGCTTTGCGTGGAAAAAGTTTAAACGCAGATGTGATGTGTTGTTGCAGCTTGGAACAGTTACAAACTCTCGTAGCAGCTCCATTGTTTCAGTCACAGGACGCGGTTTACCCTTAACAAAAAGTAGTATACACAAGTATACTTTAAGTATACTAATTTTAACTTTGAAAAAGTATACTTCCAGTTTACTTTTTCTGTACTTATCTGAGATACACTACAAAGTTGATCTTATACTATACTTGGTTTGTACTAAAGTATACTAAAAGTTTAAGTATACTTAGTTTACTAATGTTTAAACTATTGGCCAAGAAAAACTTTAGTAGTACACTGAAAGTACATTTTCACACAGACTGGTTTATTTGTAGTATATTTCAAGATTAAGCTAAACGTATACTTAGAAGATTACTTTCAGTATACTTCTGAGTATACTTTCATAAACTTATTGTGAGCCAATTTAGTACTAGAAGTATACTTGTTAGTAAACTGCTAGTATACTTATATCAGTGTACATGGTAAATAAAAGTACAATTAGGGAAATACACTTTTATACACTTTAGTATAATTAATGACATGTACTTAAAGCTTACTTCATTTTGGTAAGTGTAACCTTAAAAAGAAATGATAAAAGTATACRTAAAGTGTACTTTTTATAAAGTAAAATGTCTCCATTTAGTACAGACAAGAATTAAATCTGTATACTTTCTAGTACACTACAAGTACGTGGTGCCTAGTATACTTGATGAACTTGTACTCAAGTATGCTTATTAAACTTTCCTTTAGGAACGTAAATGAGAACATTCATTAATATCTAAGCTATAAACCTGCTTTTTGAGTTTGTTGAATTTTGCAGAATTACAAATTGTAATTTGCAGTGATATTTTCATCAGGTGTTTACGCACGGCCCGGCCCGGCCCGGCCCGGCCCGGCTTCGTTGTTTTTGCATTTCCATTTTAGGGCCGGCTCCAGCCCAACTTCTGGAGCCTGACCAGGTGAGGTTCCAATCTGGCCAGGGTGATGGGCCCAGTTTAATGTCATGTACAGCTGATCATTTGATTGGTTTGTTTGCAGAGGGGGCGGGACAGCGTGGTGAGTCATCAACACGACTGCAGCAGTCCACTGCCATTTTATTACCATATTTATTCATGTATAATACAATCTAAAGTATAATACGAGCATCGTTTTTTTTTTTAGATTAAAAAGCAATAAAAATCTAATGATCAATAATCTGTGTATAAAACTACCCCCCCCCCCCTCCACACACACACACACACTATGGATGATTTTAGGGTTAAATTTCTAGTATTATACATGAATAAATACAGTATTTGTTTTGATACTGCTAACAGTTAGAATATGTCTGTGGTCTAACAAGGAGGTCAGGTTGTTTTTTTTTTTTTTTTTGCTTTCTTGCAGACGAGCGTGTCCAGAAGGAGCTTGATAGCAGCACATGCAATGAGAAAGTTTTTAAGTGTGCGTCAGAAGAAATGGCCTCGGCTGGCTTCACTCGGACCTCAAAACAATGTCGTAAGAAGCTGAAGTCCGACTGCTGGTCAGTAAAAGCCGTAATGGACGAAGTGGACGAGGACGGAAGGATTGGCAGTGGTTCGACAAAATGGACCAGATTTTTGGACAGRGGCCCTCCAGTAACGGGAGAGGATGGTGGAAGATGGTGAGTTAGGCCCAGACAGACGATTGATTCCAGTCAAAGAAGTGAAGAGGAGGAGGAGATGGAAGAGTAGAGAAGGAGAAGGAGGAAGAGGAGAGAGCAGGACCCACAAAAAACAGTTCCAGCTTCTTTGGAGGTTGGTTTTTGTTCAACATTTGCTTTGATTTTTGTGAAAAGCTGCTTGTTTAATAAGCTTTTATAAACTGATTTGTTTTTATTTGTATCATTAAACACAGACTACACACACACACACACACACACACACACACACACACACACACACACACACACACACACCAGCCAATCAATATTCAATAATCCTAGGTTACCCAACAGGTTAGCTTTTGTTACAAGAAAGTATGAATACAGTGAGTCTCTACACAACAAATGCAGTAACATAAGCTGCTTAGTAATGTTGGCTAGCACAGTAAGCTAGCTATCAGAGTACTAACATTACTACTAACATTATTTTGTAGTTAGCTGTCTAGAGTATACTTTGTTGACCAACATGAAACTATCACAGAAAGGTCATGGAGTTGATGAATMAATCTGTAAATCTGTAATTTCCCTTTATGGGAATGGGAATAAAGTATAATTCAGTTTAATTCAATTCAATAAGACTTACATGTATTCTGCTGCGTTAAACTGACCTGGTGGTAAAACTACAGGCATCAGGTGTGTAAGTGGGACAGTAAACGTAWACTGACAGTCAGAGTTGGTAAGAATCAAAAGTTCCCAAAGCTAACACTTGAGTTTCTGTAGGAAATGCTTGGGTCATTTTTGACCCCACTTATGCATCCAAGGGTTAACACAAACATCGGTTATGTATAATGGTGTAAATTTACCTGTTGAATTCGTGCAATTAATTACATCAGTGTTTCCATATCAATCTCYGCTTTTTCCCAATAAACACGTAAGGTCGACCCAGTTTGCGTATGCACATTTCGAATAATTTCTAAATACAAAAGGYTCTATTCCACTCGCTTTTCAAGTTTGTCAAAGACCTCGACCATCCAGCCAAAGTTCGGATTTCTAGAATTTTCTTTGTATGTTACCATTCAGCCTCCCTAGATTCCACCCCAAGTGTCAGATCATTAGAGAGCGCAGCAGATACAGTATAAAAATGATGTCATGAGTGAAAGTCACCATTGTTTTTCAAACGATCACTGCCTTTGAACAACTATCATGATGCAACAGAGAAACAATCCCAAATACAACAACTAATCAACAGAACGGGTGAAAAAGAAAAGAACAAAGGTGCTGCTGGTCCAGTCAGAGTCCAGAACCTGGACCTGACTGAAACTCTATGGTGGGACCTTGTTTAGAGGCAAATAATTCATCAGGATTTTGTTTTAAATATCTTCTCATGTTGAAGTAGAATAAAATACCATGAAAACAGAGTTAATGTTAATAAAAATCTTTAATTCCATCAAAGGTGTATACACCTAGAGACATTTTAAAACACAGATGTTCAAAGTATAAAATTAACAGTTTCAAGTTTTGCCATTTAATTTACCCCCTTTTTATTCAGCCTCATTCAGGATAAACCTGTGAAATAACAGATTCATGTGATCTACCAGGTTACAGCAGTCATMTCAGGAACAAGAGAATGAGTTAAAAGTTAAAGTCACACCACATTTAGAAGCTGTGAGGCTAAAACAGTGGAGAATCATCAGGTCTGACCAGGTCTGTTTCAGCTCTGTGGGACCAGAACATCCACAGTGATGAAGGTGAAGAGTCGGTCCTTCCTGATCTCTTGGACGG